CAGCTCTGGGGCTCTGCACACCTGAGCACAGAGATCCCTGCCCTGCCCAAGGCAGACACGGGGCACTGCCAGGGAGCACCATGGAGTTCTGCTCCCCTTGCCTCCAGCTGCCATGGGCACAGCAGCAAGAGCCCTGCCTTGTGCCAGCTGGGCAGCATAGACACCTAGGAGGAGATTTGGATTTTAGGAGAACAAAGTGAGCACATCAGTCTCACCCCCTTTGCTGGACAGCTCCTGCAATCCCAGGATCTCTGCCTGGATGGATTTTTTCTGCTAGGATCAAATGCTGACACAGCTCCTGATGGGATGAAAGCATCAGAGTGATTTCAGGCTGAGGCACCTCTGCAATCATCTCTGCTGTACCTCAGGGTGCTCCCTCTGACGTGCTCACCCACCTCTGCACACTGGGCTTGGGACCACACTTATCCTCAGCCCTCCTCATGCCTGTGCCCACTGCCCCCACTTTCCAGGCTCCGGAACCACTGACTGCTTGATCATCTCCATAAATCCCTCCTTTATGAACTTCTCAGGCTGTTCCCAGGACCTTTGCCCTTGGTAGTACTCAGACTTCCCTGCCCTGCACTTCAAGCTTGTGAAACCCTTAGGAAGCCCAATAGGGAAAGGAATTGTCTGAGTTCCTTCAAAATCCCCTTTCTCCAGTACTGCAATCACAACAGACTTTACAGTTCCCTGCATTTGCTCAGTTTAGTTCTTGGGGAAAAACTCAAGCCTAGTCACCTTGAGCACTAACATCAAATATATTAAGTAGATGGGTGTGGAAGCATTGTGAATAACATAACCCCTCCCCAGACAGTGCAAATGTCCTCTGGACAAACACAAATGCTGGCAGAACTCCTGGACAAACTCACTCTAATCCTAGTTTGGGAAACCTTACACATCTTCCTTCCTGGATATCCTATAAAAATAGCCATTCTCAGACTGCAGCAGAGGCATTTGAGAGCCCTCTGCCACTTTGGCAGAAATGCCCTGCCTTCCACAGCAGGCAGGTGAAATATTTGGAAAACACAAAATAAAGGATCAGCTTGGCTGCTGCCTTCCCACAGGTATTAGAGGTGCTCCTCACAGGAACCCAGCTTGGGGCTGAGCAGAGGGCTGCCCCAGCTCCACAAGCAAGCTGCCAGGCACCTTTCATCTGGGATTGCACTGTTTTCTGCTCAGTCTGCTGTGGATGGGGAAAAGGGATGGAGCCTTTGCTGAGCCCAGAGCGGGTCCATGCCCACGGTGGGGTGGGAAGCACCTGCGCTCCCTGGGAAGATGCAGCTGCACTGATATGGGAGGGTTAATTTTGCAGTTTGCTCTGTCTGTCCATCTTTGGGGAGAGTTCTGGGCTCCAGTGTCAGAGGGATTTCAGCCACTAAGGGAGTGGTGAGGAGACACTGCAACCTCCAGCCACTTCCCTGCAAAGTGTTGGATCATGCAGCTTGCTTAGTCCTTTTCCAGTTACAGCAAGGGTTCAGATTGCATTAAATGAACCAGTTGTCAAGTGCTCTTCTGGAAGAGAAGGAAACAAGAAAATTAAGACATTTATATAACCTGGCTCTGCTGGGCAAAACACAGCTCCTGCTCATGTGGCACAAGAGGAGTGCTCCCACATAATGCACATAAAAGTTTCTCAGTGCCAATGGCGGTGCCAGAATTTGCTATATGAAAGCATTATATGGCAGGTAAACTCATAAAATGGAAATGTGAGAACTAGTCTTAGAACACATCTCTGTTTGCAAAGCACACATTGAATTTACAGGTACTTTCGTATCTGACAAATTAAAAGCCCTCTTTTAAAACGAAATTGCGTTTTCACGTTTCAAAGTAATCTACAGGACAGAACTGTCAAATGGAGAGTTTCTCTTTGAATACCCACTGCCTGTGTGAATGGCTACTCCCCTCACTTCCAACACTGACTTCTTCAGGGTTTGTCTCCTTTACTGCCATCGATGCCCATGGAACCTTCTCAGAAGAAAAGGAGGAAGAAGGAGGAAGAGGAAATGGTTTCCTATTTACCCTTGCTGCCTGTATTTTCTCTTCAAACCCTGCTTTTCACTCAGAGCGAAGTGTCATGTCACAGAATCACAGAATCAATGAGGTTGGAAAAGAACTCCAAAATGATTGAGTCCAATCTTTGACCACCTTGAGGCACCATGTGCCACGTCCAGTCATTTCTTAAACGCTTTCAGGGATGGTGATTCCACACCCTCCCTGGGCAGCCCATTCCAATGCTTAACCACCCTTTCAGTGAAGAAACTCTTCCTGAGGTCCAGTTTGAACTACCCTGGTGCAGCTTCAGGCTGTGTCTTCTCATCCTGTCAATGGTTCCCTGGGAGAAGTGACAGACCCTCACCAGAGTTTTTTTTCTGGGATAAACAATTCTAGCTCCCTCAGACACTTTTCATAGGACTTGCCCACCAGCTTCATTGTCTTTCTCTGGACTCACTCCAGCACCTCAGTGTCTTCCCTGAACTGAGGGGCCCAGAACTGGACACAGGACTCCAGGTGTGGCTTCCCCAGTCCTGCTGGCCCTGGTCCTGCTGGCCACACTATTGCTGTTACAAGCCATGATGCCATCGGCCTTCTTGGTCACCTGGACACAGCTGAGTCAAGTTCAGCTGCTGTCACCAGCACCCCTTGGTCCTTTCCCACTGGGACACTTTCCAGCCACTTTACCTGTAGCTCTGCCTGGGGTTATTGTGGCTGAAATGTGGGAACCAGTACTTGCTCTTGTTGAATCTCATTCTGTTGGCCTCCCACCACTGATCCAGCCTTCTGTCCAGATCCTTCTGCAGACCCTTCCTACCTTCCAGCAGACCAACATTCCCAGCATACTTGACATTATCCATGAACTTACTGAGGGTTCATGCAATAAGATACACAGTACAAATAAATCCTATTCCAACAGGAATGAAAAAAGCCATGGGAAATATAAACATCAAGGATATGGAGTGAGAATAACTCAACAGGAATACTAACCACTAAAGCAATGACACATACACTCTATCTCAAAACAGAAAACTCAACCAAAACCTCCTTGTGTCTTCTGAATTATAAGGAAGGGATCCATCCCATTTGTTTTTTGTCATGTGCCATGTAAGCATCTGTAGTTAATCTGGTCAATCTGGCCATTGTTAAAGTCAATGCAGAGAAAAGGTCAAGACCCTGAGTCATTTAACCTGTATATATACATAAATAACTATATGTCTCTCTGTGTGTATAAATAAATACATATTCACATGCATATATTACAGAAAAATAATATATGTATTATTCTATATAATATATATTTATTATGTATCTATAGGCAATAGGGTGACATGAACTGCTCTCTAAAGGGACTTGTTCCCCCCCTCCACCTGCCTCAGACACAGATACTTGCATTCAGCCAGGTGAAACCCATCTTACCCAGCCAAGTGTGACTAAAAAGAGGCAGAAGAATATCCATATGTTGCAAATTCCCAACAATACAAGAACATGTCAAGTATTATGTGTGTTTGAGCCTGTCCTCAGATGCCTTTGTGCTGGGCTCTCTCAGCTATCAAAGGAGCTGTCAAATTAATCAGCTGCCACGATCTGCAGCATCCTTGTCTGAGCTGGAGGAATGATGTAGAAACTGTCATGGATGGCACAAATCCAAAATAATTGGGAAAAGGGGAGTGATAAGGAATGCATGTATGTAGTAAACCATAAGGGAATCCTGTCAGATTATCAGCTGCAGTGCAGGGGGTAAAGGGGTTTAATTACCAAGGGGAAACATTTGAGGAGAAAAGTGTGCCTGTGCTTGACCCACTTGGGGAAGAGGCAAGGGGACATCAGGTGTCCAGCAAAGCTGCTCTGTTTGTGGGGAGGATGGTGTGTGGGCTGAAATGACAGTGGCATCATTTCATGTGCTTGGGAGAATGGTCCATATCTACTCCTGGTGGCTTGGGAGGGGCTGCAGTTATATTAGAGATACATCTGCTGCGTGGTAGGAGGACGAGAAGTGGGTTTGGGAAGCAGTTTCAGGCAGGGCTCTTTCCCCATCAGTGATAGGGTGCAGTCCTCCTACCAGCACTCTGTAGGTAGAAAGTCATGCTGTCCCCATAAGAGTTAGGCTGTAACATCTTCTGCCACATTCACACATTGGATTTAATGCCCAGGCTTCCTCCTCATTTGTCACTGCTGGTCTTGGGGTCGCTGGTACAATCTGGTTTCTTCTTTGGCAAGTCATTAATTTCACGAGTTTGCATCTGAATGCCACAAATTTCTGAGAAGTCTTCCCTACAACAGGAAAAACACTTTATTACAGGTAGGAAGAAGCAGGTTTTCTATGGCTTCTTCTATATTTACTATGAGAAACAACAGAGTATTTTTTGCAGATGACACCATTTAGGATCTCAGTTACTCTTTCATTTGTCAGTTACTATTTCATCTGGCACTGGCTATTTCACCTTTGTTCCACCACACAGCCAGTACAATGTAGATCATTCTTGACAATTTTTCACATAACATCTTTTCAGAAATCCTACAATGGCCCAGGAAATCTGCACCATGGTTGACTATCTTCACTAAAGCACATTTCAAAGCGTTGCTTACATTTTCTATGGTTTTATCCAACCATGAACTGACAAAAATCCACTTCTAAGGTGGTTTCACAAGGTTCTCCCCACTTTTCAAGAAAAATCTCCATTCAGCTAAGAAGCAGCAGTAATGAGTAAGGAACATGAAGAGAAACAGGGATGAGGATTAGCAAAGAGAGAGAAGAAAAGAATTCCCAAATGTTGAATAGGGACATCTTGGCTTAACTAGGCTAAGGAGCCTGTGAACAGGAGCAGCCTTGGTGCATCTCAGTGTAGTAACAGAAACAGGGAGGAGGCCAGACTGAAATAAACCTGAAGTATAAAATTGTCATGAATGACACAACTCTGCAATTTTGGGGGATGAAGGAAATAGAATTACGTGGTTGTGGTGACAGATGCTCCCCCAGATTTCCCAGAGTTTGGCCAGAGAGAAAAAGACTTATTGCATAACCCATCTGAAACAACGTATTTGCATAATTAACCTTAATTTTCCGACAGAATTAATCTCCCACCCATTATCTGAACAGCCCTTCTCAGTTCCACAATGGCTGGGACAAAGACTGCTTTTTAGAATTAGAGAATCACAGAATGATTTGGGTTGGAAGGGATCTTAAAGTCATCTCATTCCATCCCTCTGCCATGGGCAGGGACACCTTCCACTATCCCAGGTTGCTCCAAGCTCAATCCAACCTGGCCTTAGACAATTCCAGGGATGAGGAGTCCACAACCTCTCTGGGCAACTTGCTCTGAGATGTTTTGATTTCAAAAGCTCTGATTCCTCCTTTTCTTGTGCCAGTATTTAACAGCTGAATCAGACAATCCCAAAATCCGGGGTCATATTTAACACCGAAGAAGATGTCCAGAAATCTAAGCAGTGCAATAGGGAGAGGCTGATCCAGTTGATGACTCTTCCACCTCTAGGGATTTTTTGGTTAGATTTCACATTTTCCTCATTCTGTCCCACTTACTTTATTGTTTGCTTGATGAGTCACACAAAGGCAGTGGGAATGATAAGCAGAACAAACCAGAGAGCTGTAAAACCTGAAAATCAATATGGTTAGCACCTGGAATTTTCTTAATTACTGCATTTAATGCAGCTGGGAGAAACAGGCAAGATGTGGGATAGGGCCTCATCTTGCCCCTCTGCCCAGGGGCAGGAATTTTTCCATGTTTTTCCATTGCTCCCAGGACCCAACCAACTAGAGAGTGACCACAGTTGAATAAGCAGTTTGCAAAACTCCTCCTTCTCTTCCTTCATCTCATTCCATTTTTTCCTTCTCACCATAATGTGCACTACAGTTTTCAACAGACTCCAGCTGGAATCAAGAGCCCTTGTGCAAAGTCTTGAGTATATTCACAGCAAGACACAAATTCTATTTCATCATCTAATGATGATGGGGAAGGGGGAGAAGAAAATCTCTTCAGACTGATCTAAATGCACTAGTTTAGCTGTGAAGAAATGTTCTATTTGCCCATCTTTTTTTATTCCTTTGAAAATGTGAAAAAACCTCAGCATTTAAATATTTACATTTTTTTCTGCTTTTTTCCAGTTGAAGTGATTTGCTGAATTGACAGAAAGTCTCAAAGAAGAATTTGAAAATAGTTCCATTTAAAAAACAGACTTTTGGTTGAACAGAGTTTTTTTGCATTCTTTACAAATATTTGAAAATTTCTTTATAAAAGCTTAAGTGCTTAAACAATCTGTTTATACTGTCTTTGTATAAACTTCTCACATGATACATGGGTATAGATTTGTCTTGCAGCATATTTAGTAGGTCTTCTAACAGAAAAGGATCTCTTTGGAATAGAACAACAAACAGAAAGACCAACTAAGTGCTCTGGGTGGTGAAGTCTTTAATAAAATGGCATACCTGTGACTGGCTGTGTCCCTGATGAGGAAAGGAAAGAGGACAGATGAGTCAAACCTATGAAGAGAGAGAAATTCTTGATTTTTGTGTCAATTTGCTCTTCTGATGAAGAAGAGCACCAGAGCAGTGATGAGGACAGAGTCAGCCAAAGAGGCAGCACATTCCAGCACCAAAGCAGTTCCAAGGGTAGGGTATGGCAGCTCTCCCTTTGCACAGAACATTTAAAAATTGCCATGTTTGTTTCTTGGCCATCAACAGATCTTTCCAGCCTGGATATCAACATATCTGCTGACCTGATACCTTTTAATGGTGGGCATGAAGTGAACTGGAATGGGATCCATCTAAGATCTTTACTTCATATAAGAGTGGAAGGATGACTTTCAAGGTGCCAAGCTAGTACTTGGAAATATGGTTTAAACCGGGACCTGTTTTTGCCCAAAAATGTAAGCTAAAACATCCCTGGCGCAAGAAATTAATCTAATTTCTCTCTTATCCTGAAAATGAAGCTCTGAACTTGCCCCTGTATGGGGCAATATTTTTAACAAGATGTCCTGTAATAGTGGTTTCTTGATAATTTTTTTGTGCTGAGTGCTGAAGGAGAACTGAAAGTTCCAGACTCATTACAGACATCAGATCATAACAAATACAAAGGAAACTCTTTAGGGGAATAAATATTTGGTGCTCTATTTGCAAGGACCTGACCTTGCTGAGGTTTCAGAGCATTTTGCAGAAAACTAGAATTACTGTTTAGGTAAATTAAAGGCTGAGGTGGTTTCTTTTTTTATCCAGTCCCATGTTGTTCACAATCCAAATTTTAAAATTTTAAAATATTTGTGATTTTTAAATATGTGTAATTGCAATAGGTTGTATTATTTTCTAGGACTGGCTTGTTGATGGGCTATATCTATCACAGCAAGAAATTAGCACCAAGGAAAATTTTCAATGGAGTCATGATGGAAGAGGAAAGACCAGAGAGCAAACTGTGACTTCTGTACCAGGAACACTCTGAACCAGGCACCACAAAGAAATATATCTATGAAACAGGGGAGAAAGTCCTGGGCTGATGCTGAAACATTGTGTATGCTGTGGTCTGGTATGGTCACAAAGGCTGGAATGACAAAGCAGGCTGAATTTCTCACTGACAGACATTTATCTTACAACTGTAAAAGCCACAGTGAACTTTCACAAAGCAGAAATCTGTACATTTTCCTGGAAATGTGTGGAGTTTCTCCCATGAAGGGACACCTATTTCATGGTTACCTCCCAAGGGATTAAGTGAAGGAATCTGTCTGTGTACATTATCATCATTTCAGTGGTAAGTTACATTTGATTCCTAATCAATAACATTTCTTTTGTTGGCTTTAATATAGGTATCTTGATACAGTTTTATATTATCTGCTAGCAGTTATTTTAGTTTTATGCTGTGTAGTAAGTAATTCTGATGAAGGTCTTTGTCTGTTACCTCCTGTTCATTTGTCTTAATAAATAATTCCTTTTTATATAAATACATCTGATTTGCCATCAATAAAACTTGCAGGACAGAGCAATGCCTTAAATTTAAACTGCTGACAAAATCTGAGGCTAAAGAAGGATTTGCCTTCATTTCACCCCGTTTCTGTGAAGGTGTTTAAATAAAAAAAAGGGAGTTCTTTCTTCGCCTCAGTGGCAGAGCTTCTTTAGTAAATTTTTTGAAGCTCCCCCTCTCCCCACGACAACTGGGGGGTCTGAACCCCACATAAGCAGGTCAGACATTGCTGTGGCATAATCACAACCACCTTACCTGGCCCAGTGGTCTGTGGTGACCACTGGTTGCTGTCATTGGTACATCTCATATCGAGGGGCGTCCAGAAGGTTTTGCCATTCACCTCCTTGCACGTCCTGCTGCCAGAGGTGGGGGGTCTCTTATCATAACCTGTCTGGCACTTGAAATGCAAGACTTGTCCCACGTAATGCTGTTGGGGCAGCCTTATGGAGGCATGTGGAACAGTCTTGGGAGGACCACAGAAATCTGTGGGAGCACAAGGCAGCACGCAGTTAAAGCAGACAGGTTTTGCATAATGCTTCTGTTCTTTAAAATCTTGTGTTCTTAGAAAATCTAGACAAGCAGGATATAGCAAGGCTTTCTAATACTTGGTTAGGATATAAAATACTCATTTACTTATACCATATCACCTTATTCAGCCAAGATATTCCAAAAATCATTTCTTTCACTCTGAAAAATAATTAAATATTATTCACCATTTTTACACTACTTCCATGGAAATCAGCAGGACAAGTATTGAATGAGCTCTTATTTACCTTTTTGTTTGGACTCTGAAAGGTCTTCTTGCTTCTGAGGTGCAGGGCTCCTTGGTTCTCTTTCTGGCTTCTGTGTAAGTTCTAATTCCATCATGGGATCCATTGACGACAAATCTTTCTGCTCTGTGGAGAAGTTACACTTGTTGAGTTGCAGCAGGACAAATATCAGAACAAAGTGCCAGAGCACCCAAGCTTCTGGAGGTTGGATAAAGCTGTTTCAAGTTCTAACTTAGAAAAATAAGCACAAAAGATCTTTTGTTAATGCCCAGATTTGTTTTATACCGAGTAACACATAGAGGAGAAACACCTCTATGTATAGAAAAAAAAAACAACATTCACTCACCAAAGCATTTAAATAGTTGGTGTTTCCAAACAGCACCCTGCTGTTCAATCTTACACTGAATTCCTAGGTATTCACTGGCCTTTCTGCCATAGCCAGGGTCACAAGTATAGTACAGTTTGGTCTGTGCTGGATACATCTCAGCAGTAACATCAGCAAATTCAGTCGGTGGAAGACTTGGGCATACACCTGCAAATAGAAAGCCTGAGAATCAGGACATCAGGAGAGCCTGGCATTTTATTTCATGGATCAAGGACTGCCCCATTCTCAATACCAGACATGTCCAGCAGATGGACAACATGAAACACTACCAACATTTTCTTAATGAAGCTGCACACAGTTGTATTGGAGAGCAGCTACCCCCAGCAGAATGTGCAGCCCTCAGTCTATGGAGTGAGGCACAACAGGCAAAAGTAAGCAATTAAAAGTTGCAATCATCTATAAGCAAACATTGCAAATGGGCACAGACTCTCGGTTCTGTCTGAGGACAGACACCAAAGAGCAGCTTACTGTGAAATAAGTTTACAAACCTAAATATAACTTGTCCCAAAACAGGAAGTGAAGTGTTGTGTCATCAGCAAATCATATCTAAATATACTTCACAATCAGTTGGAATGAATTAAGTCAGATCATTTCATCATTTCAGTGCACTTGAAAAGCCTGCTCAAGCTGAGCTGGGGACCCAGAGGTTGATAAAGGCACTACTTAATTATTATTGAAGGCCTAAAGGCTGAGAAATCAAAGGATCAAATAGTCTGGTTGCACCAGGCCTGGCACTCTGGATCTTTATGCTTATACATAACATAGTAACAGCTATGGGGAGTGAAATTCTTATCATCATATCTCACAGTTTCTGCAGCAATAATTAATGCAGCCTTAGCAACCAGCAGGAATAACTGCTAAAGGCCCTCAAGTCCCTGAGAGCTGTTCATCATTTGGTGTCTGCCTTCGATTCGATTCCCAAAGTGCTTTTTCCTTGAAAGACCAACAGCAACTCAACCTGTGGCTCCCAGCCCCAGCCCTGCAATGCCCTTTACTTTCATTTCCTCGCTTTGATATTTTCTGCCCTTTTTGCTTTACAATGTCTTGCTGTTTAGTAAGTCACAAAGTCTGAAGGAGGCAACAACAAAAGGTATGTGAGCACTTTAACAGCTAATCTGCATATTTTAATCCCCTTGTATGTCTGTGTTATCAAAGGATTCGCCTTGTAAACTACATCAGACTGTGGCTTTGACAGAAGCGACTGCACCCGAAATAGTTAACCACATGGTTTACCACAGACTGTCAGGGTGATTAAAATTAAAGAGTTATCAGATCAGCAGCAAGTTGAGATCATGTACTCTCACTTTCCCTGAAAGCTAAAAGCTTGTTTCCCTCAAGACTTCAAAAATCTCTTTGAAGCAGACTGCAGATCTGAATCTCAGCATAAGGCACTCAAACCTACAACTCATTAGTCTCTTCTTAAGAAAACCCACAACATTTAACCAACTCATAATAAAGGGCAAGCAGTCTTTTAATTGATGATCAGATGTTGGGTTCTTCTGAACTTGCACACATCAGACAGGGATTGTGCAGACATGGTGCACTTGGGAGACATGAACATCCACATTGCAGATCACACACAGCATTTCTTGAATCCAGCCTTTTAATTTCATCCACATTGCTTAAGTTCTTGTCTTCTCACCCCTAAATAACTGCAGCATCTTCTTTGACCTTTACAATCACATTCCTTTCTCTGATCCAGAAAGAATTTTGGAAGAGGAATTTCCCAGGTCTTGTTGTGACCTGGTGCCTGCCGCCCTTTGACTTTTAACAGCTTCATTGTCACATAAAATATTTTGCTCCCATTTTCAAGAACCTTCTCCTTTGCAACCATCACAACCTTTTAAAACACTGGCTTGTCCTCCCATACTTCTCACCAATGTGTTTCATCAAAGTCATCAACTTTTGGGTTTATTGTTGTACCAAAACTCACACTGGGAGGAGCCATAAATGAATATGGATATTGCAAAATATCCTTTGCCATGATTGCTCTTAATTTTCTCAAAATATCTTATATATCTTCAGAAGTGCTTCTCTTTATGTGATTTTTACTCCTCTTTCTAGAAAAAGTAGGCACTCAGCATGTAACTCATGCACCCTCCTGCCAGGCAATTTTAGGGAGTGAAAAAGGTCCTCCCTGAGTCCCCTTTTCTCCAGGCTGATCTCCCCCAGATCCCTCAGCCTCTCCTCACCAGACCTGTGCTCCAGACCCTTCCCCAGCTCCACTGCCTTTCTTTGGACCTGTTCCAGCATCTCCAAGTCTTCCTTTGGTTCATGTCATGGCACCTCCTGGAACAGTTTGGGAAGACTGCAGAGAGGATGCAGACCTGGTGAGGTCTGGACCATACTCTGGAGTGAATTGAGCCTAAAACTTCATTCCATCTTTGTGCCCAAAGAAACTACATGGTTTGCCCCTAAAAAAATCAACATCCTTGCTTTGTGAGTGGTAAAATAGCCAAGGGATTAGAAAAATCCAGGGAGTAGGGAATGGCAGGGTAGAAATTTTTTTTTCCTTCACCAAATTTCTGACTTTTTTATATTTTTAGGAAAGATTAGCTTTGTTTTGGAGGTTTTTTGTTGTTTTGCACCTTGTTGGTAATTAGCCAATCAGTTTGTTTGAGTTAGCGTGATATGAAAATGTCAGTCTTTTAAAAGGCCAGCACAGCGGGGCATATCCTGCCTCACAGCCTGTGGTGACCAAGTCTTGCACAGCCCAGTTTTCCCTGGATTCTGCATCCCTCCACAGCTGCACCGGGGTTTCACTCCTGCTATTACTGGTTTGAAATACTGCCCTCACATTACCTTGAGATGTCTTGATGTTTTGTTTGCCTCCTCATTTTGCCTCTGCACATATTCCAAGTTTTCATCCCCATGACAAGGTGTTGTGTGTCACTATTTCATTCTCTTGCTATCCTGATGTCCACTGTTCTCTCATTCCTTCATTCACCAAATTCATCAGCCCCTACCAATGATTCTCACTTCCCATACCCCAGCAGTGTCCTGGGACTTCATTTCTCTGCACTTAGAGATAGTAAATGGGCTAAACAGAGAGGTTGGTGTAATTGTGTCCGTGGGGATTTAGCCTTTCTGTCAGCTGCAGAATTATGAGAACACTTAGCTCTCCTAAAGCAGATGGGGATTTCTGTTTTTCCCCATATTCATGGATTTTTGGTGCCTACAGCATTTGTGGAAATTCTGGAGGTGGTTTCAATCATTATGATGGAGTGGATGGAGACAAACCCTTGGAATTAGAAGGAGACGTGTATTGAGACAATAGCCATGAAACATAACAATTAAAAAGTAGTTATTTGTTCTGCTGGAACGCTCCCTAAATTAAGTTTGAAAAGTTTTTTGAGACCTGCAAGCCTTGTTATCTGAGCCAACAGATAAGTGTGAGCTGGGATATCTGATGCCATTTGAGATATCTCAGGGCATCTGGGATTTCCACATGAGTTGTCAGATAACACACAGGAGATATTGGAGGGAAAGAAACCCAGCATCTATATCAGCATCAGTTCTTTCAGATTTCTTCCCTCACATTTCCCATTCAACTATGTTCCCCACCCAACCACAAAACTGCTCTTGGTAGGTGTGCTGGCAGTACCAGGCTTCATGAAACCCCCCCTCCTGTTTCTCTTCTCCATCTGAATTGGCAGAGCAGTGATAGATGAGGCTTTAAAACACATTTAGTCCACAAGAAGTGAGAGGAGAAAATTTGTAACAGGCATTTTTAGTGCTAGGTAAAACACAGTCAGTGAGTCATGGCACACTAACCTAAAATCAGAACTTCCCCTGTTACGTGGCTGTGTGTCACCAGCACTGACATTAATCTGATGTCAAGTTAAAGCAGAAACGTACAAAAATAGGACGATTTTCCCCTTACTACAAAGGCAGTAGGATGGGATTGGTAGGAAACTGGATGCTCTGAAGTTTTGGGCAGAAGCAGTGGAAGAAACCAGGCACTGCACACACCTGCCCAGTTCAGAGATGAAGAGCACCTCTCCCCAGAGACACCAACAAATCAAACCGAGCCAAAATGAAGATATTTCCCCAGCTGTGCCTGAAAAGCTAAATCAGCCCTGGGGATTTATGTGCTGTGTGAAACTGGGCTCTCTAAATGGTGCAGTCTCTTGAAGATGAAACTGATACAGGCAAAGCGAAGGAATTGATACCGACAACACAACTGAAATGGTAATTGTGGAGTTGCGTTATTGAGCGCGGCAGGTAATGAACCTTTTCTAACTTCAAAATTTATTCCCAAAGGATCATTTAACAAGCAAGCTTCACTCTGCAGGATTCTTTCCCTCATTAATGACACTTCTTACTTATGTGAGTTTGTAAGATGGGAATAGATCCCAGATGTGGGGTTGGGGTACAGACCCCAATTTAATTGTAATTTGCCTGTGAGATTATAATTAACTCTACCTTAGATTATAGAGAGATTATCTTAAAAAATAATTTAAGTAATGGTGAGTCTGCATTGTAAGTGACAGAAATACAGTGCAGATAAAATGACCAGGCACAAGTTTTAATGCAAACAGCAATGGAGGAGAGACCAGCCTTAGGGGAATGGAGGTGGGTTTGAATATTCCCAGCAGTGGAGAAGAACAATGTCCTGTTCTAAGGATCTGGCAGTTCAGTCTCTGCCAAGTTTGCTGTACCAGATATCTCTGTTCAAAAAACAGTGTAAAATATATTGGAATATGAACTGCCAGGAGCTCTAGGACCACAGAAAACTGGGTTTTGGAGAAATGCACTTATCTTACCTCTTGGCTTAATCCTGCTGAGCAGCTGTTTGCTATTGACCTAGGCAATGGAATCTAATGCAAAAAAATTCCATATTCAGCAAGGCTAGAGCAGGTTGCACAGTGGACTAAGCTTTCTCATGTTAAGCCTAATTTAGCCTCAGGAATGTGCCTTCTTAGCTCCTTCTGTGAGAAGTGGAGCTGGGCAAACCTCTCTAGAGCACAGGAGACACCTGATTTACCTTCTCCAAAGCAAAACTTTAAAGTGCTACTTTCTTTTTATCAGCTGCAGTGGTGGAAGAACGTTCTTACATGCTCACATTGATGATCAGAGTGGTTTGCCTGAGGTATTGACAGATCTAACACCTGCCCTAGCAGAGAGGCTGGGCTGGGGACTTGAACTCAAAATGTGGAATTGGAAGAGGGAACATTAGCAAAGAGAGAGAGGAAAACCAGCCTGGGCACAGTGTGCTGCATAGAAAGTGCACTAAGTAAAGAATAGGAAACACTTTTTTTGTTGTTTCTGGGTGTGTATAACATCCTTGGTTCTGTGGTAAAGTCACAGAGCTCAGACTCTTTAAATGTAATCACGGCATGTGGTTTTGTAGCAGAACACAAAGCCAAGTTTTGAGAATATACATGAAAGTTTTGTTTTGGTGTGAGACACTTTTGCTTAAATAGACGAGCTCAGTAACACACGTCTTTGATATTTTCATCTAAAAAGAAACAAAAATTGTATTTTTAAACAACAGCAGAGATACAGGTTCTTTCCTTTGTCTGGAATTTTCTCAGCCTTGCCTTTTGTAGGGCTGAAAGGGCAACAGAGCATATTCTCTCTGAAAATAATTGAATGGTCTGACAAGTGTGTGTACCAGTCTTGGGAAAATGAAGGGGAAAAAAAAGGGTCTAGTGGGGAAATTTTGATTTCAAAGATTCTCTAAGAATTCATCTCACCTGACTTAGGGACTCAGCATGGTCAGGGAGCTTTGCCCTGGAGATCTCAAGAATGAGATGGAAATTTTCTGCACATGAACATGATTTTTCCAATGTCATGCATGAAGTGTTTTTCCAATTGAGAGGGTTATATATTCTTTATGTGAATGCTCACTATTTACAAATCAAGAACATGAAGAAAAAGCAGCAGATTACAGAGTGCTGCTCCCCTGGCAGGGCAGAGGAACAGGGAGTCAAATGGGGAAAGTAATGGAAGGACTTTGGAAATGTGAGTTTTTGGGGAAGCATTGGAGGAGATGGAGCAAAGACTCAGTGAGCCACGTTGCTCCAAAATTCAGGACCAAGGTCAGAGAATGGAATCCGTGGGTAGAAAATATCCAGAAGCTGGGATCTGAAGATAGCATTAATACAACAGGGGGAACAGGGCAGACAAAGTTGAACATTGAGCAGGTAGGGAGACCAAAATAACAACACTCTGAAGGCAACAGTGAGCAAAGTCAGAAGCAGTGGCTTTCTAGAATTAAAGAGTGGAATGTTTTCCCTGCAATAAAAGGAAAAGGACATAACATCTCACCTCTGATGAGGTGGAAAGACAATTCCTCTAGCTGAAGAAGCAGGTACTGCAGGATCTCTGTCTGTAATGTCTGCTTTTCCTCAGTAGGATCACACTTTTCAAACATTTTTTAAACTTTTTGTTACTTGTAGCTGCATATTGAGCCCTTTGTTGCTGAAGGCCACTGTGTCTGAAAAGGTTTATAAAGGTATTTGCTCTCTAGTTGACCTTACAAGAATCATTTGTCTGTGTTTGACAACTTTAATGTATTCTGCATTGCATTTCAAATCCATGGGAGCCAGCACTAATATGCAAGTATAATGGCAAAGAAATTCCTCTCATTTACATGACTGAGATCTGGTACCCATCTTGTGTGAATGAAATTCACTTGAATGAATTTCTATCTTTTGTGAGTTTTAATCCTTTCCAGATTTAAGTTGCAAATCTGTTCAGTGTATCCCTGTATGATGAACAGCAAAATGAAAGGTTGTAGGAGCACAGACCAGTTTTACCTTGTGTTTGACCCTCACTTCAGGCTTCACCCATGCCTGCATCTTCTAGGCACTGCTGCTGTGCAGAATAAATCAGATAAATGTGATGCTCTTCACAGGAAAACCAGCATTTCTATTATTTTTAGCACTAAAGTGTAGTTTAATTTTTATTAAATAAATGATCATCCCATGCCTTAACTTCCCCAGTCCCCCAGGACTTTTCTCTCTCAAAACCCTTTGAGAAGTATCAGTGAAACTATTCTGTAAAACAAATGGGTTTTATTTCCTTCTCCCTCTAGTTATATTTATTCCTGATAGTGCATTTTGACAAACACCATCTAAGGCTGGATGTATTTAAAAAAACTGAACTTGCAGTGCTGGGACAAGCTGAAAATACTACAGCAAAATAATAAAAATAGCACTGTATGTGCTGAGGCCTGCTTGTTTTTTTGACCATTTTGACCCAGCCCCTTTCCCTTTGCTTTGCCCATGTCTATTCCCAGGTCTCCTTGTTGATCCCCCTAAGGAATTAAATCAACAGGTCTTACAGCCACAATGCCTTAAGTGTCTCCAGGATTAAAACCCCCAAATTGGTAAAAGGTGGTGTTTTGTACCATAGCATATTATTTGCAGGGAGAAATTACAAATATGTCTATGTATATAAATATATATATATATAGAGAGAGAGAGATATAGAGATATATTTAAACATTGGGACAGAGATTGAAAATAAGTACAGAAAGCTGAGGAAATAAGAGCTTAGTGATACAGTGGAGAATGCACTAATTCATTCAGTGGTGAATAAAATTACATGAAATAGCATAAAATGCAACTGCTCTGACACCCCCCGATTTTTTTTCCAAAAAACACAAAAGTTTCTGATAAACGAGAGCTGCCAGAAAGAAATTTCACAACATGTTCCAGGCAGAGTAATACAGAAAGTGTGATCTGGGGAACCTGACTCATCCCAGAACTGATCCCACTGACACATCTCTGGCTGAGCATCTCTGGTGCTCCTGCACGCAGCACCAAACACTTCCCGTGGGCTCTGGCACCTCATCTGGCAGGGAAAGGAGAAAGTGCAGCATTTACTGGCAAAAGAATGGAAAAAAAAAATCACCTGGACCTTCAACATTCAGGAAGGTCCTTCCTGCATTAATCAGTTCAGTCATTAGCAACACACTCTTCCCTTGAGATGGCCAGCCCTGAGGAAAATTCCCACTCCTGCTAAGGATGATCCATCAGCAGTTTCAGTACCAGCATATCTGAGAGCCTGCCTTAGGCTGTGTCTGTTCATACCTCTCATCCTGGACATCATCATCAGACACAGAAAGAAATATCACATTTATGGAGCACTGAGAATGGAAGGGTTTTTGTTTTTTTTTTTTTTCCTGCCTTTGAACAAAGCACTTTAAATTTAAATACACTAATGCATCACCAGACCATTTCTCAATGCACACACTTGTCACGATAAATAAGCCAAATCTAAGCAGTGTCACCATTTATAAATGTGCAAAATTATGCTGAATTGGACTAGCTGTCTCCATTCACAGTTTATAGGACTGCTGATTGAGAGGTATAGCTGAAAAAATATTTCATATCTATAGTACCTATAGCAAATTTGGATGGTACCTTTTAACTAAGAGCATTGCCATCAATTTTACCTATGGGGTACTGGCATTTCAGTGTCTATTTTTGTTTCCTAAACTTACAAGCAAAATGGAAAAAGGAAATTCAAAGGACTGCTTCAGGCTGCTTTGATCTGCCCACTGTTCCAGTGATGGGTTGGAGGATACATACATTAGTCAGATAAAAAATATCCTCTAAAGCTCTGGATTTTCTGCAGTTGACAGTTTGTGGGCACAGAACTCATTTCTCTCATTTCCTTGGAATAATAAATTCCTTAAGCTCCTTAGCATCCTTCCTTTGCTGAAAGGAGTCAGGATGTTGTGAACACCCTCTAAACAACCACCAAAAGACCCAAATCATTTCTTCCCTCCCCAAAAGGCAAAAAGAGTCTTTTACCTGGCTTCTTCCCCTTGATGAATCCAAACAAGAGCCACATCAAAAGCCACTTGAGCTCCATGGGACTTGTCCCCATCTTTTCTCCACAGCCCTGAGGACGGGGAGGTTTCTCAGAAGCGATGAGCTGTTGTCCAAGCCAAGGAACTGATTGCTGCCTGATGAGGCTGTCTGGGAGCACCACCCACATGTGCAGCGAGGGCTTTGGTCAGCAAATCATCGTTTTGCTGGCTCCACAAGAAAGAACAAAGGTTGCTTTCTGTTCAGGTATTAGTCTGTTATCCAGGAAACCAAACTCGAAGCTCGGTGTGGCGGAGCATGCCATCGTGCATAGGAAGTGGTTTGACATATCAGAGCTCCTGGAAGCTACAATAGAAGCAGGAAGACTTTAATAGGTTTGTTCAGGCACTCAGCCCCAAATCTGTGTCTGGACAGGTATTAGAGAGGGACCAGAGCTGTAGAATAAATATCTGGTGCGTGACAATGGATCTCAGGCAACATCTGTGGGCTCTATCTGCAAAGAAAAGGTTTCATGGCTTATACTTTTGGCTTTCAGAGGTCTTCTGTTCGTGATGATAAAGCCATACTGCATTTGGTTTTGGTGGAAGCATATGTGCAGTTTCTCTGAATCACAGCTGAACTTCTGAAGGATAGACAGCTTGATTTAAAAAAAGAAAATAAAATAAAACCAAACAAAAAACCATGAGGGTGAAGCTGCCAGGTTTAGAGAAGGTTTCCCTTGGTCCTAAATTATCTGGGTGTGACGTGCTTCAGTGAAATTTTTGCAAATGCCAGTGAAAAACTGGAAATTACCAAGAAAGTATCACACTTTATGTAGTTTTTCTTGAAGCATTTCCACAGAAATTATTTCCTGTTAGTAAATAGAGAATTAATTGGGAGAGACTATAGAAAAAAAACATATTTCAATTATCTGTGGTATTCTATCAGATTATTACATGCTGGGCATTTATTTCTCCTTTATAAATCCTCAATGAATTAAATCTTAACAGGCAAGGTAAGGAATAGATGTGATACATTTTTAACTGCTGCTATGGCTGTATCCATCAGTCTGCCACCTTTCTCCTGATAAATCTCCCTTTGCTCTTTCCATGAGAGATTTTGTGCAGCTTTGTGATGCAGGTGACAAATCCTCCTGCGGGGTTTGCCAGCTGCGAGGCTTTGCCAGGAGATTATTTCTCAAATCCAAATGCAACAGGGCATGGAGAACAAGTAAGACTCGTGAAGCAACTGCTGTGGGTAAAATGCTCTGCTCACCCCAGGGCTGCTTCACGCTCCACAGTATTTACTGCCTTTGCTTCAGTATCAAATCATCTTCCACATTTAACAGTGTAATAGGAAAAGCTCATGCCAAAGCCATCTGAAGGACTTAGAGAGTTTCACTCCTGAAAAATCTGTCTGAAAGTCTTAGAACCCAATCCTTCACCTTTTCCCAAGATGCCTGGAGATGTGAAACTGCCTGAACTCTGCAGTAATTTGGATTGGTAAAACATATTTATTGTACTGCCTGGAAAGAAATCACAAACTTTTTCTCCTTTCCTTACTAAACACAGGGTCTGTGCTTTTGAGGTGAAGGGATTTACTTGCCAACATCTGCTTCAATTTCTTGATTGGTCTAACTATTAAATTCCACAGCTATTTTAATGATTGACACAGATGAGGGATGTTTTCTGCAATGCTCCATGCAGCCTTTTGTTTTCAGGTAGCAAACCTCAGCACAGGTGAGTAACAGCCACTAAGATTTTATCAGAAAATATGAGTTTTTATCCAGGAATAAATGGGAAGTACAGTCAGTTGTAGTGGAATGAATGATGGCTTCAGGTGGCTCATTGCTACAAACACAGATTGCATGAGAAAGACCTGTAATTCAGCATTTACACCTCTTAAAGGTCAGAAAAAACAGTTATGGTTTGCGAGAGGAATTAGCCAAATCAGCTTTGGGAAATAGGTCAGTTTGCTGAATGATTCTACAAAAAAATACCACAAAAAAAAACCAGTGCAGATTCTGCAAGGAACAGACCCAAAGCAGAGCAAGGTAGAGAAGGGGAGAGTGAGAGCAGGGAGACCCAGCAAGGAGGAAAGGCACCCAAGCACAGAGAAAAACTGGGGTTTATGAGAAAAAAAATCATAACTAGCATTATAATTTAGATGATCAACATGAGATGTTAGCAACAGAATTAGGTGTGGAAACAAAGGAAGGGAGGTGCTGTGAAAACTCACTCTGGGAAGTGGTGGGGGAAAAAACAAGAAAAAAGGCATCTTGAGAATTAAGGAAGATGGAGGAGGAAAAGAAGGTGCTAGGATATCTGTTGCTCCTTGACTTTCCTCCATTGATCAGCAGAGTTTTGCTGCTCAGGTAAGTCCTTTGTTTCAGAAGAGAGCTGGGAGGAAAAGAACCTGTCACGTAGCTCAGGCTACCACAGACAAGATTATAAAGATTATTTTTTATTCAATATCACAAGATCACAGAAATGGAGTTGCCATGGAGTAAACCACAAACACAGCTACAGCCTTCTTAGGTCTAGGTTTAACAAGGGCTTTTTTGAAATCCTGCAAGTGCTTTTAAAACTCTGCACAAACTCATTTGGTCTGGAGGAATGTTCTTTCCTTAAACTGGTCTCTCAGCCAGTTTGAAGAAAGGGCAACACTGTGATCTTACTGGAGCCCTTCCCAGTTTAAATCAGCTGTAAATATCTATGTAACACACTGAAACAAGAAAGCTTTGTGTTTTATTCAGCTTTTCTGCTGTGAATCACTCTTACACAGATCCTGTATTCAAGGGAATAACATTTCATATGGACCTTCCCAGGGAGGGTGTAGGGGTGGCTCTAGCAGCTACCTAAACTCTGTGTGAAAAACGCCAATCACTTGGTTTTTTTTAAATTTTTAAAGTTTAATAATAATAAAATGTTTATAAAAATAGTAATACAATTAGAGTAATAAAGTTTAGAGTTAGGACAATTACAAGACAATAAAAAGCAAAGAATTATGGATGTCTGGATGCTCTCGGACACTAAGTCACGAAAAGCATCCCTTGTGAACAAAGGAATCACCTTTAAAACAATACACTTGTTGCATATTCATACATTCTTCATGGTTATCCATACATTCTATTCTAAACAAGAAACTCTGTCTGTTGTATGTCAACTGTTCCTTTAATCCCCTAGCATCTTCTGTCTGTGCAAGGCCTGAAGAAATTAGCTTCTTCTGATAAGAAGCCATAAATTCCTCTCCTTTGGAAGATTTAGGTGTTCTTCGAAGCAAGTATCTCATCCCTAAAAAAAAAAACTTCCCCCACATACATAGTCTCTATTTTAACTTTATGTTGTAACCTAAAGCTACACTTAACACAATACGTAAGAGAATTAATACAGCACAACTTTCTAACATTACACATATAATATTCATTGTAACATTTGCGAAAAGCCAATCATAAATATGTATTTTTCACACTCTGTTAATCAGCATATTGTTTATGCATCCTTAAAATTACACTAATGGTGGTTGTGAACTCACATTGTGCACCCACAAAGGGCCCTTCCCAACCTCCACAGCAGCATCCAGCTCTGTTGCAGGGCAGAGGTTTGGGGAAGCCCAAGTTATACTGGGCTCAAAGTTATCATGAGATAATTTTCATCCAACCTAATTATCTATAAAGGTCAAACAGGTTGTAAACACTTTTTATTTCCCATAAAAGTGAGATGGAGCTGTCACAAAGCACATGGAGCATCTTTACCATGTCCATACAGGGTTCAACTCAAGAGGAGCATCTTTACCATGTCCATATACAGGGTTCAACTCAAGAGAGAGCTGTATGGTCAGCACAGTTGTCCCTGAGAGTTCCCCCTTGAGTCAGTGGAGAGTCAATAAGGACATCTAGAATGTGATTCACCTCCTCTTCTGGACATCTACATCCACCAAATGATTCTCTCTTATCTTCTCTCCCTCTCTCCCTTCCATCTGCACACAGCTGTTAAACAAGCACAACAGGTTTTTTAGGTAGCCCCAACTGGATGAGACAAATCCATCCAGAAAATCCATACTGAGTTTGAAAATATAATTTAAATTGATTGTTTAGTGACTGAGAACAGTCTTTTCTGCCAAAAATCCTGGATATAGGTCATCATGGCTCATATTAACTATTCTTTCTTTGATGCTGAGTTGTGACATAAATACGTAAACATGAAAAACTCTTGGTTATGTTTTGTTTCCATGAAGTGAGTACTACCACAATGTTCTTAACACACCAGTGCCTAGGCTGGGTTCCTTAATACTTCCCCATGAAAAAGAGCTGAATAGTACAGATAACTTCCTTCCTATTCTTATTTGCAATCATCATTCCCTTGGCCTGAGCAAAAAAAAAAAAAAAAAAAAAATAGAGAGATGAACTGGGGAACTGGTTAATTAAGTGTATTATTGCATGGTCATATTTGCTCCTTCTCTTCTTTTTATTGCCAGGAAATTATAGTGAATCAAGTCTATTTAATCCTGTAAAGTGAACAAGTGCACCTTACAGTGAGCTTCTTACCCAAGAGACCATTTCTTAGCTTGATTTCAGTAATAATTTTTTATATTATCTGTAAAGTTACAGAAACATAACTAGATGAATTATGAGGTGAGTATGAAATTTATTGGAAAACCCCTGAAAAGAAAGTGCCCTTAAAATGGTTCAAAACTGTGTCAAACGGAAGGTCATATTGAGAGGCACTGATTAACTGCCAAAAGAGAAGGATGCACTGAAAGGTGGTGCCTGGATGAGTCTTTGGTTATTCAGTCTTTCCAGCAGTCCCCTGGATGATGAAGGCCAGCTGGCAATGTCACACATTAAAAACTTAAATCCAACTCTGAACTGTCCAGCACATGCAAAGAAATCCCTTGTTTTGTGCTGTGACAGGGAAGCCATGGACAGGATGCTGCCCCTGCTTGTGGGCACTGCATGCTGAGAAAAGCATGGAGCAGCAATGGAAATGAAAAAAAGTTCTAGAAAACCTCTACCAAAAGGAAGGACCAAATAACTTGAAGCTGTCTGAGGAATGATGGTGGAGAAGGGGACGATGTAAGAGGCTCAGCAGTGGTAGTGATGGAGCTCATCTAGACATGGACTAGATGAGCCCTCAAATCTCCTTCCAGCACTGGAGTCTATTTAAATAGGGCACATCCCCTTTATTAAAG